ATGTGTCAGTGCATAAATGCGCGTCTATAAGTACCTCTGTTCTGTGGAGGGTGGATGTAAACAACACTAAAAAAATGTTATGAAAATTTGAAGTTCGCAACAAACTTTTTAAAGGTGGGCGGAGTCAGTCACGTGTCGATGTGCAGTGTGCTTCTCATTGTCAGTGAATGTGTGCGTGCGAAACAGCAAAAAAACAAAAAAGTAATAGAAGCAGAAGCTATGGAACAAAGTTTGAAAATTTATGACCACGCTGACAAGTAGGCGAGGCCGCCGGGTTCAGGTTCGCGGTGATGTCTGGCGCAAACTGCAAAATTTGGGTAATGAATTGTTCAGTCTAAAAAGTGTGGTGAATTTGGTTTGCAAAGTGGTGAATGTCGTTTGAAAAGTGGTGAATATGTTCGGCTCGACACAGTCCGACTTGCCGGTGGTCTTGTGCGGCGGCGCTGGACTGGGCTCTGGTTTTCACCGTGCTGAGTTGGTACCACCGTGAGTTCTATTCAAACTTTCTGTAGTAGGTAACGAATCTTATATCTGCCTGATTGATCGAGTAATATTCTGACATTTTCCTTTCGTTGTCTAGGCAGTTGGCTCTCTTATTCATATCACTGGTAATCTCCGTGACTGGCAATTGCCATCGATCGACCTAGGAACATTTTGATTCGACTTGATCTATCCTACGCTTGAGTCGAGCATTCTCGGAATGATTCCCTGCGCATTCTTCGCAATGGCAGGAAAATGAAATACCCAAAATTCAAAAAACGCTTCTCAAAAATCTGTAGGAGCTTCTGATATAGGCAGTTTGGACTATAGCACCGTTCTGTCAATGAGCTTCTAAGTGCGATGCTAGAAACGAGTTCAGATCCAAGGATGCATAAACTGATTTTAGAGCAAGAAAAACTAGTCCAAACAAATTGCAGTACCCTAAAAGAAGGTCGGAAAGGTCGTAGTGTGGTCATAATTGGGCTACCAGAGGAGCTCGCCAACTGCCAGCATAGCGGCGACAGCACTGGATTGGAGGTATTAGACATTCTAGATATTGAGTGTTACCCTGAATCCGTCTTCAGGATGGCAACATTTCCGGATTCGGAAACTAGGTTACCTAAAGCCCACTGGTCGAAAGTTCCTGCTAGTGCACGTTTGTTGCGTCGATCCACAATGTCTGATGTTTATAATGCGCTTTATGTCAATTGAAGGGCATTGAGGCAAGGCTAAGGAACTGAATAAAAGTGCGGGGTTCATGATGGGTGGTTTATAAAATTGAGCTAAAAAAGACCAGCGAGCTGCCCTTCAACAAAATGGTGGGAACCCGCCAGTGATGCATGGTACTGCACCCCATTGCGTTGTTTCTTATTCATTTTGCGCAGTTTGGAACATTCGCGTAGTTTGGCCTACACAATGTTTGCATGCGTTCGTTGCAACTAATGATCCTGATCTATTATTAGTCAGAGAAACCTGGCTTGATGAGAGAACTGGTGATACAGAAGTATCAGGAGGCCTGAACTATAAGCTAATTCGCAGCGATCGGGGATGCTCGAGAGGAGGGCGAGTACGTTGCCTGGTTCGGATGATTTGCGACTGCAAGTAAAGCGACTTAAAGACACATGGTACGCGAACACATTGAGGGTGTATGAGACTATCAGCCCCCAGCTGTCGATGTGTCGTGGTCCCCCGCCCAAAACTGCACGGGGTCAGAGTACGGGGCCGTGGGAAAGTCGTAATTCCTTGCTACACCGCCCTCACGTTTATGCTAACACCATCCGCGCGGCGCGGTCGCGTGCAGCTCTCTTGGCTTTTTGCCAAGTCCTGTAATTGCGCTTTGGAATACAAGTACAACGCAATTTCTTTATGCGGATAACATTTTAGGTGCTGCAAAATAAGAACCGAAGATGATGACGAGGGCTAGAACTCAAGAGCAACTGTGCTTCTGCAATATCCCTCAGAGGCCGCGCATTCCCACAGAACATGACAATAAAAACGGACAACATGACAATAAAACATGACAATACAAGCAAAACGCAATTTCCTAACATTTGAGGTATTGCTCATGCTTCAAAGTCCGAATAGAAGGTGATGAAGATGACAAAGGCTAGAAATGAAGAACAACGAATGTAGATGTAAATAAAACAAAATTGAAAAAAACTAAGGAAACGCAATAAATTAAAATCGCGTGTGCATTTCTGCGATCCGGCTCGAATCCGGCTCTAATGCTATAGAAATACTTCAAACTAACGAGTGGGACGCTTAGGCCGTTTTTATTTTGATGTTTTGTGGGAATGCGCGGCCTGCGAGGGCTGTTGCAGAAGCAGCACAGTTGCTCTTGAGTTCTAGCCCTCGTCATCATCTTCAGTTCTTATTTTGCAGAACCTAAAATGTTATCCGCATAAAGAAATTGCGTTGTACTTGTATTCCAAAGCGCAATTACAGGACTTGGCAAAAAGCCAAGAGAGCTGCACGCGACCGCGCCGCGCGGACGGTGTTAGTAAAAACGTGAGTTTGCAAAAACGGGCGGCGTAGCAAGGAATTACGACTTTCCCACGGCCCGTACTCTGACCCCGTGCAGTTTTGGGCGGGGGACCACGACACATCGACAGCTGGGGGGCTGATAGTCTCATACACCCTCAATGTGTTTGAGCGTACCATGTGTCTTTAAGCGGTCTCGTTCCGACGTGCTCTGGTTCGATATCACTTCGGAGTTCTCTACTAAGCCATTGCGGCTAGCTGTTGTTTATCGGCCACCACAGTCCACGGCTAAT